AGGAGAATCTTTGAAATGACATATGTCTACTGAAAAATCCGTCATGCAGAGCTTCTTCATTTGTCCAGTAATCCTGATAACTGGGCATCTTTTTTATGCCCATAAGAAAATTCAGGCCTAAATCATGCATAATTTCAGGGTGAAAAAGGCTTCCTCCACCTTGAGTAGCATATAGATTTATCTCAAATACTATATGCTCCATTAGAGCAACAGTACAAATAGCTTGAAACACCACTATTGGTGTTTTCTCTGGTAATTCCCAAAGCTTATCACACGGCCCACTCTTTAATGTAAAATTGAGAAGCACCTTTTGCAGCTCTTTTTTCATATGCCATGATGGTACTTGGGGTTGCATATATGGACCTGGTTGAGAAGGATCATTCACCATCTCTCCATCATCTTCATAATTTCTAACATTGGCATCTGAATGGTCACTCAGCTCAGCAATGTCACCCGGTTCAGCTATGTAGTCTTTGGTATAACTGCTGTCCATAACAGATCCACTATCTGATGGCAATTCATTTAGCATTTTCAGTGCTTCATAAATGGTCAGCCCTCTCTGATCCATCTTTGATTTTCAAAATAATTAAAAATCAGAAAAAAATAAAATAATATTATACCTACAATAAAATTAAATAAACATCTACAACTCAAAACTATCAAAATGTAGCTAAGAAAACTTCTTTCAATGAAAGCGAAAGAAAAAAAAGAACTACTCTAAAGAAAATCAAAGAGCTAACTGATAAAATTATCCCTGGCTTCAAAAAAAAAACAGCCTAACAATTTCTTAGCCCCCCCCCCGAAAAAAAAAAAAAAAAAAAAAGAAACAAAAAGAAAGAAAAAGAAAAACGGGAAATGAAACATAGATCTGCACCCACTCTTCTGTACTGAATGAGCTCACCACGAAGAAAATACGGCAGGACAACAAAGATACAGTTGTTGATCCTAGTGTGTCAGTGATCCCACTCTGGGCACACCAGATGTTCGTTGTTAGATTTTAGGTAAGTTTTCAATGTAAAAACTTAAAAGAATATAGAAAGAAGAGATCAGCATACAGCCACAAAAATAACATAGAAACTTCCTTTCAAACAATTTGTTTTATATCTTAAAAAAATCTGGAAGATTCCTTTGAAAAATGTCCTTCAAAAACTAAACATGGCTGAAATCTATGGGCAGATGTGTTGTGCTGCCATCTAGTATTAATAAATACGGTCAAAAGTAACCGTTAGTAATATATAAAGCCTTTCTCATTCAATTTTTCTGTGTGTACACAGGGAAATTTTTAGGTGTCCACAGACTGGGCACACTGTGCCACAAAGAGTTAAATTCAAAAACCTCGTTAAGAAAAATAACAATGATAGAAATTTTCTGTGATCGAACTCTAACTGAAGATTTCAAAAATAACATACTTGTTAACTTTTGGCTGAACTGAAAAAAAGAATTTTAAGGCATTTCTAATAACGCTATTAAATTGTTATTGCCTTCTTGTACAACCTATTTGTGTAAACAAGGATTTTCTTCCATGTTATATTTGAAAAATAAATACAGAACAAAATTAAAAGTGGATCCTAATTTATAATTAAAACTAAGTGAAATAAGACCAGACATAAGAAATTTATCTCTCTTAAACAGGCCCACATTTTGCATTAAATTTTAGAATTAAAGTATTATAACTTAAATTTTGGTAATTAAAATGCCAACCAATTTTTATTCTAATATTTTTTATGTGTGCATATTTAATACAAATACCCAATAGGTTGTGCAAATGGCAAAATATTTTTTATATATAGTTCTATCGAGCAAAAATAATCATTGTAAAATGTAGTGGTGGTACTAAAGTTTTTCAGTTCTTGTTTAGATGGTACATGTTAGTCAAAAGGTTGAGACCTCCTGGTCTAGACAATTAAAGTAACATATATGGTCAAAAGTCATTAATCCGGACTCGTCGGGACTTCGGCGATTCCGGATTATCAATTTTTCAGGATTATAGATCATCAGTTTAAATCTCGTAAGATGGCATGCAGAAATTCTAAAATTAAAAATATGAAACCTTAATTTATGAAATAAAGAACAATTATAATCTAAAGGGTATCAAATTTACAAAAAAAAAAAGCTTAATATTTATTTGTTTACTTTATTAAACATTTCTTTCAATGTAAGTTGTTTTAAGTTGCTTCGTTTTATGTGATAATACTTTCTCTTTAATTCTATAAACAGACACAATTTCTTGTTCAGTTACAAAGTTCCGCTGTACAAGTCCCGTTAATTTTTGTGCCGAGAATACCGACTAACTTGTCAATCGAAACTTTTTCGTTTTCACTAACCTCTCTGTCACATTCTTCATGTCTTTATCCATTTTTTGCAGCAATTTCACTTTTTGTTTGATGGACATCGAAACATACTTTCGTTTTGTACTATCCTTTGGGAGCTCTAGAATCGGAAATTCTATTTTACATAATCGAAAGTTCAAGTTTACTTTTATAAAATTGCTCTTACAGTCTGCAAAAAATAATAAGCCAGATCGAATTCAAAGATTAAGGAACAAAGTAATCATCAACATTAACTGAAATAGATAATTAGATAATTTTAGATTATACCGTCCGTTATACATAAAACGCACACACGAAAACGTATTCTGTGCTTGCGCACACGCATATGCGCAGTGGTAAAAGGTCTTACGCGCACACGCGTAAATGCCTATGCGCATGTGTCAACGCGGCGCATGCGCAGAAAGTTTTTAGCTTTGAGGTCCGAATCATAGATCATTCCGCATTATGGGTATCTGAATTAACGACTTTTGACTGTATATTGAAAGTTAAAAAGTCAAGGTATAAATTGGGAGGGTCACTTTGGAATTACAATTTCAATATTTCCTCATGGTTTTTAAGTTCGGGACCAAGTCCTTGGCCACTTAGAGGGTTAATCATGAGAAGACAGCATGAGATGTGATAGAATCAAATAAGTGATATTGATAGCTGAAAGAACATAAATTATGAAAAAAATGGTTTAATTTTAATTAAGAATTGAGGATGAGAAAAATTTCTGAAAAGTTTGTGCCAGAAAAAGCAATTGCCTACTTAGACCATTCTACAATTTTAAACACAATTTTTTGCAATTTCTAGCTCTTTCCAAAATTAAAAACTTCACTTATTTTATAATAATTAGCATCTAAAAGAATCTGAGACAGGTACTTAAAAACACTTTACAAAATTTAGTCCAGGCTTATCTTCAGAAAAGTAAGTGCTGTTTAAATCAGGGTTCAAATATATGGGATATGTACTTAATAGATAACTGCACATTTATTCTTTAAAAAAAACATCCTAAAAATTAAATTGCCACATCATAAATGATACATTTTGATGATTAATTTGTGTTAAAAATAATTATATCTCTCATTAATTATATCTTAAACATACTCGCACACTGGCAATATCTTCTTCATTAAATTTAAAATTTCTATTATGCATTATTGAGATGGCAGAATAATTTTTATATTAAAGGGTTCTATAAAAATGTATCGGCCTTAATCAAATATCATTACATATTTTGTTACTATCATAACTGCTTGCTGAAAAATACACAAAATAATAAATAAAATACTTCATTTTCAATAAGCTGTTACAATCAATAATGTAATCAAGGTTCAATAAATTGTAATACTGTGACAAATTATCCAAAATTAATTATTAATTTTCATTATTAGTAATTATTTTATGGCTTAATATTTATATGTATATCACAAACAGATTTTTGAGCTATTTAGAATTCAATTATTAAAATCAGTTGTGAAAAATTTGATAAACACACTGTAGAGACATTAGGATTTTTTGGAGGCCAAAGAGATGAAAAATTAGCAACCGCCCTCATCGGGAGTCAAACCACGAACCTCTGGAATACTGGCCCAATGTGCAAAACCACTACACCACGAAGGCACACTAGGAAAGTGGGAGAAATACCTTATATACTCCTCTTTTTAAAGGGCGACTGGGGGTTTTTAGGGTACCCAAACGTTAAATCCGTGTGGAGAGTCATCATCCACAACCCTTTTAGTTCGTGTGCCACTGTAGAGACATTAGGAATTTTTGGAGGCCAAAGAGATGAAAATTTAGCAACCGCCCTCACCGGGAATCGAACCACGGACCTCTGGAATACTGGCCCAACGTGCAGAACCACTACACCACGAAGGCACACTAGGAAAGTGGGAGAAATACCTTATATACTCCCCTTTTTAAAGGGCAATTGGGGTTTTTAGGGGACCCAAATGTTAAATCCGTGTAGAGAGTCATCATCCACAACCCTTTTAGTTCGTGTGCCACTGTAGAGACATTAGGATTTTTTGGAGGCCAAAGAAATGAAAAATTAGCAACCGCCTTCGCCGGGAATCAAACCACGGACCTCTGGAATACTGGCCCAATGTACAGAACCACTACACCACGAAGGCACACTAGGAAAGTGGGAGAAATACCTTATATACTCCCCTTTTTAAAGGGCGACTGGGGTTTTTAGAGGACCCAAACATTAAATCCTGGGTGTGGAGAGTCATCATCCACAACCCTTTTAGTTCGTGTGCCACTGTAGAGATATTAGGATTTTTTGGAGGCTGGAGAGATGAAAAATTAGCAACTGCCTTCGCCGGGAATCGAACCACGGATCTCTGGAATACCGACCCTGCATGAAAAACCACTACACCACAAAGGCATGCTAGGAAAATGGGAGAAATACCTCATAACACTCCCCGTTATTACAGATTTTACTGACAAAGTAAATTAATATGTTACTGATAAATAAATGATAATAAATATGTTACTGATAAAACATCTTGCATTTTGAATATTTTTAGATATGCTTGAAACTTAAAAGTGCTTATTTTATTGAACATATAACTGGCAGTAATTCACGAAGAGGAAAAGCAAGGGAAAGAAAAGCTTAATAAGCTATAATTAAGTACATAAGGTTATCTAATCTCTGGTATAATCATGCATATAAATATTTAAGCATACCTCACTTTGTTTCCTATATTTATCTAATTTAGTCTCTAAGCTCAAGCAAAGCTTTTTATTAGCAGGCTCCATTACACTGATGTAAGATTCCCGTTCCGATAGCTTAGCTTTTGATGCCTGGAGTTCAACTTCTGCATTTCTCAACTTTCTTTCCATAGCATCTTTAAAATTATAATAATTAGAAACATATTATACATATAAATTTGCATGAACTAATTTTGGAATTACAAGAGCAAATTTCATAATTTTTTAAAATCCCCCCAGCTACACTTAAATCTAATTATTTAAATTATATTTAAAAAGTAAAACACATCACTTAAAACGAATTATTTCATACTGAGCTTACACTTAAGCACAACCCTGAATATTATTATTTAACCTAACTTTATTTTAGAGATTTATACATTACTTAAATTCCAGTAAAAAATTCTCACAAGATGGGAAGTGCTTTAAAATAAGCAACTAAAACAAAGTACTGCAAAGTAGCAGATTATGATAAAGCTTTACAGCGACATATACAGAGGGCAGAAATGTATCTCAGAGTCGAAGAAATCTAGTATCCCTCTCCTATTTGTCATCAAACCTGAAATTCAACAAAGGATAAAGATGATTAATTTTTAATTAAAGCATATGAGAAGTATCTACCTAGAAAGAGATGTCTTCATAAAAAGACTTTCACATTACAACTGTAATACATGTGTAATGTAATGTGAGATGTGTAATGTGAGAAATGTGTAATGTGAGAAACTTTCACATTACACATGGAAACATAACGAAAATTTTTATGCAGCCGACTTATTTACCTAGATTCAATCTCAAATCAAATGATCAGAATTCAATATTGGGTGGTTCGGAAAGTAATTTAGTTTTTTTTTCAACAAATGGCTTAATTGTATTTTTTCATAGCCAATTTCACTCTTAAGCTGCAAAATCATTACATATTTTGACAGTTGATATAGCAAGGCAAGTTTGTGGAGAAAAAAGTGTGCATTAATTTTATTTTAGTTTTTTACTATCAAAAAGGTAAATATGCTGTTCAAGGAAGAAAAAAAAAATTATCCGTTGTGCATGGAGATGTATTGGCAGAATATCAGAGCCAAAACTGGTTTGCGAAATTTCAATCTGGCAATTTTGATCTTGAAAATCCACCACGTTCTGGAAGGCCAGTTGAAACTCATGAAGACACAATAAAGACATTAATTGATGCAAACCGGTGAATAATGACCCATGAGATCGCTGAGAGATTATCTTCAAATTTGACCATTCATGGACATTTGAAATACCTAAGTTTAATATCAAAGCTCAACATATGGGTTTCTCAAGTTCTCAAGCCCTTCTTTAGCTTTAACTGGCGTTCCAGAAGCTGGTGCATCTTCAAGATCAAAATTGCCTGACCGAAATTCTGCAAACCAGTTTTGGCACTGAATTCTGTCAATACAGCTTCTCCATACACATCGGATAATTTTTTTTCTTGCTTCAACAGCATTTTTACCTCTTCGATAGTAAAAAACTAAAATAGGTAGAAAATGCTGCTTTTCACTTTCCATATTTGAAAGGGCATCAACTAAAAATTACTGTATAGAATCAATCGAACTTACTCATAAACAAGCTTTGATACATCAGCTGACAAAATATGTACTGATTATACAGCTTAATTGTGAAGTTGGCTATGAGCAAATACAATTTAATCCTCTGCTGTGAAAAAAATGAAACTACTTTCCAAACAACTGGTCACTGGTGGATGTACTTGTACCATTTTTTTAAATGAATGCAATATAAAAACTCATTACATTTACTCAAAAATATTCACATACTATTCAGAATAACTGATGATTTATTTGTAAAGATTTTGCCACACATATAGGTTAAACTTAGAGCTTGTGGTTTCCAGGCAAGTACTCTGACTAGAGGACCACACTTCCATCATAAAAATAAGAGATATTTAGTCATTTTTAAAGTCCTTGTTGGATCTACCAAAAAAGATACTTGAATTTTCAAATTTTTTTTTCTCCCTTTTTACATTTAATGCTTTTGCTGCAGATATGAAGTGTGCAATCAATACTGCTTCCACAAGTGATGCTGAACTTATGTTTACAAATAACAAATAAATTCTGGGAACACTAAATAGCATAGATTTTAACCATAAATATTATTCCTTCCATTTACCTCAATAAATACTTTCTTCAATACCATTTCTTCAACATGATGGCTTTCAATAGCATGTCTTCAATTGACTAGAGATATGTTATCTCCTAATGTTTCAGGTAATGTTTTCAAGCCTATAATCAATTTTTACCTAATAGCTAAAAAAATTAAAACGAGCTTAATTTTATCTCTTTTGAAAATGTGTATCGTTTAATGTAGTCAGATTTTGATGCAAATAAGATGCATTCAAAGTATTCTAGATCTGCCCAAAAGAAGACAGCTAGTTTCACCTGTTTCCATTGGCCCTTAGACATGCTGTTATCTATCAGCAGCAAGTCATAAGAAATTTTGAATTTGTTCATGATTTTTAGAAGTGAAATCAATTTAACTTTTAGTGCTATGTTTTAGTTAGTGTTCATGAAAGTTTTCTTGCGATGTGTAAAAGAATAGCAAAATACATTGACAAAACAAAACATACTGATGCAGTAATTAAAAGCAAAATATATTAATTGTAGAAATTGTAGTGTATCCATGTGATCCTTGTTGCCCATGTATCCATGTGATCCTTGTTGCCCATATCTCATTAAATATTCTCACTGCATTAATCAAAAGAAATCATAGTGTATCCACACGATACTCGTTGCCCATATCATATTATTCTCACTTCATTGATGAAAACTTTAACCAGACATAATACACAATAACAATTCATCTTTATTTCAAGACCAGATATGTGTACTATCCCTCTACAGCCAGTCTCTGTTCTCCCTCTGCGCTTCTTCAAAAACTTCTCCTTAGGATTGCCGTGTTTATTGGCAGACATGCTAGCACAGGGCATCCTCCTTATTGTTGTCGCCACATTATAGACAATTTATGATGATGCACTAATCAGCTATGGATATTATAATCTTATATTGTCAACAACCTGTCAACCACAGTATTTGGAATATTATATTTTTAAAAGATACATTAACCATTCACAAAAAATTGGGTACTTATGTATTAGCACAACCACCCTAATGTAGTTTGATGATTTTTTATAGAAATAAAAGTGATTCAGTGAATTTTTGGTTTGTAACAGTTGTTGTGGTTATCTAAAGAGCTGTTATGCACATGGGAACTACTCTGATATGTGCCCTCAAGTCGGCAAAAATTTTTGGCGAGAAACTCCACGCTGCTATATTACCGTAATTTCCGGAAGAAACGCCGCGGCGTTTACATGTTTAAAACTTAAATTTTCAGCGGGTGCGGCATTTCTACCCATACGGCTTTTACGTGCACTAAAAATAAAATATTTCCTATGATGGTCATTGTACATAGTTTGGACATTGTGCATAGACTGGTGCTGTTCCCTCACAAAATACCACTCAGTTGCTTTTTGCAAACATTATTTTGTTTACATTCTTTTCCTTGAATGGACTTGCATGCCTTATTCACCCTAAAACGAGATCTCAGAACAATAACATTCTTCCCCCTTTCAAATCAACATTCTCATCAGTTCGAATAGTCTCTCTCCTCTGCCATTCGATGAATCTTTCAGGACCCATCCTCTCCCCACCCCTGCCTTTTCTGCAATTTAAAAAAAAATTTGAAAACAAAGGCGGACATGACTCCACCTGCCTCGCAATAACGAACTCTGACGTATTTCCCCTTCAGCATGAATGGATTTTTCTTGGCATTCTGCCAGATACAGATCCCATCAGTTTGACTACTACACACACCTATTACGCCTTGACTACTACACCTTGACTATCAAACTACGCACACCTCGCTTTAATAAATTAACATACCAATAAATTTCAAAGAATACCATGTACACAGCATCCTGTTTAAACTTTAAAAAATCTATGAATTACACAATGTAGGCAACAAATGAATCTACGAACTATGCACACCTTGCTTTAATAAATTAACATAACAATAAATTTCAAAGAATACCATATACACAGCATTCTGTTTCAACTTTAAAAAACATCTACGAATTGCACAATCTAGACAGTACGCACTAATCAACAAAATAAACTACAATAAATTTCAAACAATTAAAAAAAAAACAATAACAACAGAAATTCATACTATAAAAACAGTGAACATAACATTCTACAAAATAAGAACAAGAATAAAATAAAATGCACTTACCATGAATTAATGCTTTTTCGAACAGCAAAAATACCAATTTCATACCGCCACATAATCTATTATCGTATTTATATGACAACCAGACACACTATCCAGAAAATTCATACTATGGTTCACAAATAAATAAAATCATAAATAATCACAAATTCCTACTTCTATCATGCACAGCCACTAAAAATAATCTCCCAGACCCTCTATCTACACCTGCAAATACCCACCGGCCCCGTTACAATGTTTCAGGATGGTTCACGATTTTGATCAATTTCCTTGTAAGATTGCCGAACTTTCAATTCATAACTACAACTTCCACCAAATTTTAATCTGCAAAAATAATTCCTACTCTAATCTTTTTTAGTATTATAATTTATATAGACACAGAGCATGATCGCAAAAATCAACGAGCATAATTTCATCTCTCCATGCAGAAGATTTTCATGTCAGCAGGTACATGTAAGTCAAGGGGTGCACAGTGCCATTTTTGTGCAATTCTAGGATTTTTTTTTTTTAAGTGAAACTAGGTCGATGTGCACATGGATACCGAGTATGAGCAATTCTTAAAAACGTGTCAAGCAATGAGTGATTCTGCACTTTACCCAAAATTCTATTGCCGACTTTTCATCATGGGCAATTCCCAAATTATTAAATCCATAAGATATCAAAAAAGGATTTAAAAATTAAACTAGTATTTCAATGCCGTCTTAAGAAATATGGAACTATATAAACTTACGCAATGAAACCAGCGTGTACGCTAGATTTGGCGAGCTGTTAAATGGGTGCTTTTGTACACACATTTTTGCAGCAATTTTTTACGGCCCTCAAAACAAAAGAGTACCTAATTTATTTACTAAAGAAATATTGATTACATTATCTCCTAATATAAATTTAGTAGAAGTATCTAAAAAGAGTGAACCCATATGTAGAAAGTTTAATTCCGAAAATTGTGTTTTAAAGTAACTTGAATGTAAATTGTTAAAAATGTTTTACAGGAACTTGAATTAAATCATGGACAACAAAATTTCAAACTTTGAAAAAAGAAATTAAATTAAAAGCAAGTAATTATCGCTATTGATCGAAAATTAGTTGACTTTTCAAGGGGAACAAACCAACTCCTGTTCAATGAACAATAATTAATAAACACAAACATGTTTCGTCTTTTACTCAAGTAATAACTGTTATGCCAAACTGGCAAATTAAGTTAGGCCACATACAGTCAGTCGTTAATCCGGATTCGTCGGGACTTCGGCGATTCTGGATTATAGATCATCAATTTAAATCTGATAAGATGGCATGCAGAAATTATAAAATTAAAAATATGAAACCGTAAAATATGAAATAAAGAACAATTCTGATCTAAAGGGTATCAAAATTTACAAAAAAAGCTTAATATTTATTTGTTTACTTTATTAAACATTTCTTTCAATGTTCTTCATTTTTTATGTGATAATACATTCTCTTTAATTCTATAAACAGACATAATTTCTTGTTCAGTTACAAAGTTCGCTCTTCAAGTCCTATAATTCCTGTGTCTACCGACTAATTTGTCAATCGAAATTTTTTCGTTTTCAATCATCTCTGTCACTTTTTTCGCTATCCGAAGTGAATTATAATGATGAGGAATTTGATTTAAATCATATCAAAGACGGAGTACATCGAGATGAAATACTACATTTAGTAAGGAATTATAAGCCAAATAAAATAAAAACATCTGCCTTGAAGATACGGATAGTGCTGACAGATCTACTTCCAATTTATTGCGTGCCCGCTGCGGCGTTACAGATAAACAAACGTTAAAAGTTTAGATAAACAAAGGATATGCCTTTATCCATTTTTTTGCAGCAATTCCACTTTTTGTTTAATGGTCTTCAAAATATACTTTCGCTTTGTAGATCCTTTACATATTAGTAAATATATATCAGAAATTCTATTTGACATAATCAAAAGTTCAAGCTTACTTTCATAAAATTGCTCTAACAATCTGCAAAAAATAATAAGCCGGATCCAACTCGAAGATTAAGGAACAATGCAATCTGCAACATTAACTGAAATAGATAATTAGGTAATTTTAGCTTAGCTTATACCGTCCGTTATACATTAAACGCACATTCATAAACGTATTTTGCGCACGCACACAAGCATATTCGCAGCCATAAAGGTCTTACGCGCATGCGCAGAAAGTTTGTAGCTTTGAGGTCCGGATTATAGATCATTCCGCATTATGGGTGTCCGAATTAACGACTTTTGACTGTAGTTCCGTGAAGTGATGGTATTTAGAACCAAAGTAGAGTACCAAAGAACTCATTCTGAATTAAGCATTTTCGCTATATTATACTCAGCGGCCTTCTTATTAAAAATACAGTAAGTTCTATAGTGGCAACCACTTCTGAAAGTTGCCAATATTTCTGAGAATATACATAAACACTAATTCCAAACTTCACCTCCATTAAGGACCAAAGTTAACCATAATCACAGATGGTCATCAGAAAGAATTATAATTTTTTCCAGTACAACTCTAATATACGCCCTAATTTCACCAAATGTGGCGATATGTGTTCTGCACTGGTTTTTGGTGCAATTGCATGTTCTATGGCAACCCTGTTGGCGTTGAAAAATCTTTCGCTGGAGCTCGTTGGTTCGCCTCTGTGTCTGAGAATATGGGAGGGAAAGATAAAATGGTAGTTGTTGAATTGAAGTTCGGCAAAAGGAAATATTGATTGTGGCCTATCCTGTTGAGGGGTAGCGGGTATTTGGAGGTGTGGAAAGAAGGGTCTGGGAGATTATTTTTAATGGCTAGTGCATGACATAGAAGTAGGAATTTGTGATTTTTATTTGTTTGTGAACCATAGTATGAATTTTCTGGATAGTGTGTCTGGCTGTCATGTAAATACGATAGTGATTACATGGCGACATGTTAAAGGCGGTATGAAATTTATATTTCTGCTATTCGAAAAATGCATTAATTCATGGTAAGTGCATTTATTTTATCCTTGTTCTTATTTTGTAGAATGTTATGTTCATTGGTTCTTTAGTATGAATTTCTGTCGTTATTGTTGTTTTTTTAAATTGTTTGAAATTTATTTTAGTTTATTTTGTTGTTTAGTGTCTAGACTGTACAATTAGTAGATGTTTTTTTAAGTTGAAACAGAACGCTGTGTACATGGTATTATTTGAAATTTATTGTTGTTATGTTATTTTATTAAAGCGAGGAGTGCGTAGATCATAGATTCCTTCCTTGCCTAAATTGTGCAATTCGTATAATTTTTTTAAAGTTTAAACAGAATGCTGTATACATGGTATTCTTTGAAATTTATTGTTGTTATGTTAATTTATTAAAGCGAGGTGTGCGTAGTTTGTAGATTCGTTCGTTGCCTACATTGTGCAATTCTTAGATGTTTTTTTAAGTTAAAACATGTCGCTGTGTACATGGATTCTTATCAAATATTTTTGGTTAGAAACTTTACGTTTTTGCTATCTAAATTTTTTGTTTTTGTTTTGGATTTTTAGCTAAATTGTGTTTTCAAAATGTAGTTTTTGCATGTGCGAAAACCGCGTTTTTGGAGACATTTTAGGCTAAAAGTTCAAAATGTAGAAAAAAAATTTAGATAGTAATATGGCAGCGTGAAGTTTCTCGCCAAAAATATTTGGCGAGAAATTTGGCGACTTGAGGGCGCATATTAGAGTAGTTCCTTTTTTCCATATCTAATCTCCTTTGGTCAAAACCATGGTGCACCACTGATTGTATTTCTTTTTAACCTTTTGAGGTCAGGGATTCGACACCTGTAATATCCTTAAAAAGATGGAGGGGGGAGTTTGTACCCTATGCTTTCACCTTTTCAAGAAGTCCGTTGCTATTTGCAACAATGGCCTGCTTAGGTAGTTTGATTCAACCTGAAAAAGGTGCAATTCCTTTAGGAAAGAAAAGGAAATGTAAGGATTATTGTCTAAACTGCTAGATGGTTTTCCTTATGGAATGAAAATTTACAGTTGACAGTTGACTCCAAATTAGATTATTCAGTGAAATGCAGCAGAGAATGTATATTTTCATTATAGAAAATGTCATTCCATTTCTCCATATTATAGCACATAACTTTCTTAAAAAAAAAAAGTCTGAAATTTTCATGTAATGATTTTAATTTATCTTACCAAATTAAGGGCATTTATAAAACAGAAACAATTAATTCTATTATACTTTAAAGTTGTGTTAAAAAATTCCCCCATATTTATACAATAGATATTTCTTAAATTTGCAAACATTCATGTCTTCCTAAACAAAGAAACAAATATTGCAGTAAACAAAAGGTTATTTACTGTCATATTTCCAGATGTTTGTTTTGTTTTCTGAAATTATCTGAATTCTTTAAAATTTTCTCTATGAAAGGAATAGTTAAAATAAAAAATTAATGCTGCACATATGATTAAAATTGTAAACTGTACGGAAATGTTAAAAATCAAATTGTAGATAAGTCAAAATTTTAAGTCTAAATAAATATTAGTATTACACATTAGTCGTATATTTCATACTGCAAATTTTTTTGCAGCAAAAAGCTTTCAAATTAGAAGGGGAAAGCTGTGCAGTGTATATAGTTTTTGAAAGAATGGGAAGAAGTTACAAGATAGTTAATTTTTATCTTCAGTTCCTATTACAATGATTCTGTGTTTTATGATGCTACATAATTTCACAAACTCTTGTAGAAGCTTTCATATTTCTTCTTCAATCAGCTCCCTTTTCTGTTTTAGCATATTCCTGCAAAATTAAGCAAAATAACTCCAAGAAATCTCCCTTAGAGTATGGAATATTTCAAAATATCGCAAGGTTCCCTTTACAATTTTTGAATGAGGTCATCTTTGAATTCTGAAGCAGCAAGAAAGAAAAGGGAATGATAGGCAAAACCAGATCCTTAATACCTCTGAAACCAAAAAGTAGTTAACAGTCTAGAAACATACAGAGGCGTAGCTAAGGTTTTAAGTGCCCGCGGCCAACTAAAGATTTTGCACCCCTTTCTGTGTTCCAAGAATGGAAAATTTTCATTCTAAAATTTGTAGCATCAATTTGGTGCCCCTTGGATGCTGCGCCTGGGAAAAGATGTCACCCCTTGCCCCACCCTAGCCAGTGGAAATATAGCTGCTTGACAACTCACCCAACCTTTTTTGCTTGAAAAATGGGAGAAAAAGGCATGGTCACTAAAGTGCACATCTCCATTCTTTCAAACAGGGAATACCAAGTCCAATATAATAGCCATCCCATTCCAAAAAGGTTAATTACTATAGCAATTACGGATTAAATAGATTGTTTACTTAAGGCACATGATATAAAAGTCATATGCCTAAGCTCCAACCAATTTAGAAAAATAACATCAAGGTGAGAAGTACAATCCGAGTTTTGCATAAAATGAAAATCTTCATGCAACAAAGATACAACAATAAATAATGCCTTTACAAATTTTGCCATTTACAAGGGACTTGAACCCTTGATAACCATGTATCATTCGGTCAGCTTCAGCTAATGACTATGTCATTAAGGATAACATTATTACTTACACTTCGTAGAAAACAAATACCCAAAACTTCACTAAAAACAATACATAATAAACACACGATTTAATTAAAAGCTTCGCTTGAAAGAAAAAAGAATCACGCCTACATGCGTGATTTTTTTTACATCTTTAAAGAAATACACTAATATTCATAAACTGCAACATAGCTTTCTTCTTAAATTATACATAGCATTTTTTTCATTCTTTAAAATCAAGGAAAGTACATAACCTGGAGTTTTAAAAGTTGAAAATTTAGAAGTCTCAGGAAATATCTGAGACTCATCCATACTACTAAATTGTAATCTTGTTGCTACAGAAGGTAAACTTTTGTTAATACTAGAGGATGAAGAAGACAGATTTGAGATGTATTCATTAAAAGGCCTATTGACTTTCATCGGAGTTACAGATTTCCAAATTGAGTTTTTTACTTCCCGCAACATGCGCACAACTTCAGTATTATCCTTAGGCGTCGACATAGTAAATGAATTAGATTACTGATATACATATATAAAATCTATGATCGAAACAGGAACTGCATTTGCATCATTAGCTTATTAACGCGCCATTGAAGTTTCAAAGTATAACCAGTTACGGTTACACATAAATATTTTGAAGATTTATTAACTTTTATTTGAAGAGGTGCTTTCTGCAATGTTATTACTTCAAAATAATTGTTTTTACTATTTTAAAGAAATTAAAAAGTTTCAATGGAAATAAAACTAACGAAAAATGCATCATTGGATTTATCTAAGTTTCTTGGCAAAATGTTTCAGAGAAAACTTCTTGTAAGTTCACTGAAAGTTTTACATTTATTTCAAAATAAAGGCATCAGTTATGCATTATCCCGAAAAATTTATTGTCAACATTAAAAAAATATCTGAAAATGAAATGAAATAATTTGCGTACACATATAGTATGGCAACATTGCTTAACAGTGAAGTATTCCGTGTTTTCTGATAAGGAAGAGAAGTACGTGATACCTTTAATTTAGTCATTAATTTATGCTTTATTTTACCTGAAATCATTAATAACTTTCATTAATCATAAACTAAGAACAAAAATGATCTCGACGAAGCTTGGATCTTTATTAACTACAAATTATGGAAAATTGTGTAAGTTACCATGTTAAGTTTTTCTGCTGTTTGTGTAAGTAGTATTAGAAATGAATCATTTTATTGCGATATTTCGCAATCTTTTTTTTTTTTTTTTTTTTTTTTTTTTTAAGTAACTGAATAACATGAATATACGTATTACTTATTAAATCGGTTAATAACTGCAAGAAATGTTTTTTTAATAAGAAATTGTTTTTGAGTTTTAATTTGCTCTTTATTTACTTTTGAATCGTAGGTTCGATTTCCTAGTTTTCTAAGAATTTATTTTTGGAAATTCTTGTGCTATCAAAAAAAGAATACATTCATATAAAAACAAATATAAATTGTTCATTTTTCCCTCCTTTTTAAGGTCTACGAACAATCTGCAGCAGCAATATTTCATGCAGAGAAGTTAAACCAGGTAAAATTCCTTTTCTAAATTTGTTTACAGTTAAGATATGCTGCATAAATTTTATCTTTTATAGATATTTATTTATAATTTACAAATGCTTGGCCATAAGCTGACCTTTCTCAAACTTTTTCAAGTGGGTACCCACTTGTGTAAATCCGACTGCTTTGCAGACCTCCTAATTCTTGCCCCCCTTCAATAGTAACGTATGTTACTACCAATAATAAACAATAACGTATGTTACTACCAATACACTTATATTTTTAAAATACAATTAATTAAAATTCATTTAAGTTAATAAAAGAAAATTTGTTTCATTTCTAATTACTCAAGCATGCTAGAGCTAAAAATTATATGTTGCTACTGACAGTAATGAGATGATCATTCCTAGTCCTATACAGCTGTTCTGTGTTTGGCTGTGTGCTAGTAAACTTAAGTCCGAGATCAGCACATACATCATGTTAATTTCGGTATTTTGTGTTTATCTGAGTGGTGAGGAAAATCCTTTCTCACATAGAATGTTAGAAGCAGACTGAATTATAAATTTTAATGCACAATTTTGCAGTTCAGTATGTTTTGTTTTCTGTGGTAATGAGTTCAGAGGTGCGAGATGTGCAACAAAATGACGGTCAGAAGCATCACAGTCTTACTGCTTTAAATTTCTCTTTTGTTCGTAAGACTAAAGGGAAAAGTCCATAGTTAAAGAGGCTGAGGAAGCACTTCCGCAAAGGATCCGTTAAATGTAAACATCGCCAAAAATGGTGATAAATGTTCATAGCTGGTAACCTGGCGAATTGGCAACCTGGTTCGCTTTTAGAAAGAGAATATTTGGCGTGTGTTCGGGGCTCCGTTTTGCTGCTGGCTAGCGGTGCGTCAGTACCGGGTTACGTGGTGAAAATCGCAGGTGTAGGGGGGTGAATATAATACGGCTTTTTAGAATAGTATGGCTGTGTTATTACGTAATTTTTAAAAGACTTTAAACACGCAGAACCACAGGGCTCCTAAAATATTATGATTAACGTGGGTTAAGTTTAAATTAAGTTTTTATTTTTATTACTGTTATTTTTACCTAAAATAATAAGTATTAAATCAGTTTTCATGCTTAAAAATTTGATATATTTTTAATGCATTTTTAAAAATTACTTTTCGGAGGATGCTAGGTGTTTATATACAATAGATGATTAGAATGGAAAAAAAAATTATTGGTTCTCTGAGATGACAAAATACTTTTATGTATTCCCAGGGTCATCAAAGTTAGTAAACCACTGCTTTGAGTAATTAATCAAAGTTTGAATGAATCTTGAAAGATAACAAGATGTATAATGCTTATTCTAGTTTTATTTACAATGCTACTTTAAAGGATTTGAATATTATTGAAGATACTTGGCATTGTCAAATTTATTATAAAAAGACAGTTGTTTCAAAATAAAATATTTTAAGCTATCAGCAAGTAAATTCAAAAAACAACTTTGAAAAATTGCTTGTGTAAAATGAATATTTTAAATGTATTATTTAGTAATGAATCCATTAATCTATTAAATGTACAGTAGCACTAATTATTAAACATAATTTTGAGAATATCGACAAGCAAAGCACGTAATGAAAAAGACACTTTTTACTAAAATATTAGTATTCTGTATGAATGACAGAGAATATATGTAATGAATACCATGGCTAAATACCTATATAAAGAAAAAGAAACAAAAAACAAAAAAAAAAGTAGTATTCTCTACCTCGACACTTGCAAAAGTAATCCTGCTATGCAACACATAGTTAATTTCTGATTACATGATATTGCAAGCATTTTCTTCAGATTTTTCCTACAACTGATATTGAATACTGGTAGTTTGATCTGGTTTCATATCATGGTTAAAGGGCAGGCTGCATGGTTGATTTTTCTAGTTTACCTCATATGTAATGCAAATACAAGCCAGTTTCCCTTAGAAAGTTGTTCAAAACGGCATCTTTCTTCAGGTCCATAGCCGGTATTCATTGCCATATTCGAATAACCTAAACTTTCCTTCAGATTCTACATTGACATGATGTATCTGTTGTAAGCAGGACAATGATCATTCCGCCTCTATTAGTGTAGCAGGAGTGTATTTAAAAAATGTCAGAATCATGGGATTCATAACAAAATCGACCATGTTTTAATCTTGAAAACTTTATAAATTTTCCCGATTTTCTTACGTCATGGGTTTCACTAACAAGATATTCATACTTTTGTTCAAGTTCATAAGCAGTTGAGCAATACAATTCTGAATACTGGTAGTTTGACCCAAGTTTGAATCTTCATTATTCAGTATCTTGGGCCATCACACTGTCATGCCCCCTAAAGTTATTACTGCTTGGCATAATAACAATCTCACTTGACCATGTTACCCACTTTGTCAAAATTAATATATCAGCTGCAGTCTCTCCAAAGACTCTCACTATAAAAGAGATTTAAAAAGATCTTTCTTAGAATACAAATAGGTTTGTCAACGTCTGGCAACAATTCATGAACTTTTCACGCAAAGCATTTACGACTCATTTCAGATACAACATTTTGAGAAGTGTTTCATCTACCTTTTTCAGTATGGCTGCATCATTCAGAAGAAAATGATGTTGTCATGTTTAATTTCATTAGGCCTGATGCAGAATAAAATACTGGAACTGCTGATTTTTCCTACATCTGTTATAAGAAGAAATTATTTCAATGATATCCTAGAACTGCAATTATCATAGGGTACATATTAATTTGTCAACAGCGTTGGTTATTTCATAAATGGAAATGAGAATATTGCTTTTTCCATTCTCACTTTGGATATTCTAAATTGCACTAATACAGCATTGAATTATGTCCATTTTAAGGTAAATTTGCGGAACATCATTTCTTATAAGTTTCCAAACATCTTTTCAGAAACTGATCTTTCTTACAAGATTTAGATGATGAAGATATATTTAGTGATCATCAGTCTGAATTCGAAAAACAGTGCGACTCTTCAGAAGACATTCCTTGTGATCAAAGTGACTATTTTAGAGGAAAAGATAAAACAACAAAATGGAAGAAAGAACCCTTTCGAATTCAAAGATGCATGGTGTCCCATAATATCATAAAAAAATTGCCTGGCAATACACATATATCTAAAGATGTGGCTTCACCCATCGATGCATGGAAGCTAATATTTGATGACACAATGATTGAAATGATTGTGAAATGCTCTAATATTTATGTAAAAAATATTTCGGGAAATTTTAAAGAGATGCAAAACCTATGGAGAAAGAAGTGTTTCTTGCTTTTTTAGGACTTATGTAAATCCCATTCCCATTATCTATCCTCCCATGTAAATGTTAGAGAATTATGGGTGACTGATGGAACAGGATTGAATATTTTTCGTAAAACAATGAACTATAAGCGTTTTCTTTTCATTCGTGCCTTATGATTTGATGATGTCGGAACACGGGATGGCAGAAGAAAGAGTGATAAATTAGCTCCAATAAGAGATTTGTTTGAAAATTTTGTCAAGAATTGTCAGAAATTATATCATGTAGGGGAATACATGACTTTGGACGAAAAGCTAGAACCTTTTCAAGGACGATGCTCCTTTCTTAAGTATATGCCTAAGAAACCTGTAAGATATGGTATAAAGATATTTACTGTGGTTGATTTTAGAACCTTCTATACTTTCAACATGGAAATTTACTCAGGTCAGTAGCCAGATGGGCCATACAAGAAAGTCAACAGTTCTTGTGAAAAAGCAAAGCGCATCCTAACTCCATTATACAATTCAGGAAGAAATGTTACCACAGTTGGTATACCAGTTTATAAATTGGCCAATTTCTTACAGGAAAATAAAATTTCTATCGTTGGAACAATATGCAGGGATGAGAAGATTATCCCACCTGAATTTGTGTCGAATAAGAATAGAGAACAGCATTCAACCCTCTTCGGGTTTCAAAAGGATATAATGCTACTTTCTTATATGGCTAAAAAGAACAAATGTGTCAACCTTTGTCAACTATGCACAATGATGACCATATTGATGAAAGCACAGGAGATTTGAAAAAATCTGAAATAATTACGTTTTATAACATGACAAAAGGTTTGGTTTATTGAGATTATAAAGTACACTAGGGCTATCCTCCTAAAGGGAGTGATGCCTTCGTGGAGGACTTCCTAAGGGAAACTGGCTTGTATACACGTTACACATGGGGAAACCCACGAAAACGCCCATGCAGCCAGCCTGTTTGCAGGATTTGAACCTCGGACCGAACTATCAGTGTTCAGCGACTTTACCGCTCAGCTGCTGGTGGACCCCATGAAAAAAGGAGCAGTTGATATAGTTGACGAAATGGGTGGCACTTACTCTGTGGCCAGAGTATCAAACCGATGGCCTATGGGCATTTTTTTTTTTTTTTTTTTTTTTTTTTTTTTTGTTATTAAATATTGCCAGCATAAATTCAAAGATCTTGCTTTTATCTACTAAAACTCCACCAGAGAAGTTCAGGAATAAGAGGCACTTCTAATTTGCCTTTGCATTTTAAGATCCTCATTTAAAATCACGACAGAAACAGAAGGAATACAACGAAGATTCTCTTGAAGATTCGCAAACAAAGAAAAGAAAATTATGTTACCAGAGATGTTACATGTGCTCATGTGAAAAAAAGACAGAAAATCAAAAATTATATGTGTGAAGTGTAAAAAAAATATACTATGTCAAGAACACTGTGAAATAGAAGCTTCATTCAAACTACAAAATATCTAATTGATTTGAAAATTAATTATACAACTCATTGTCCATGGAATAATTCTGCATAATTTGGATTATAATTGCATTCAAAAATAAAAAAAAACACAAATTTCTCATAGAAATCAATGTTTCCTAGTCATATGAAGAAAACGTAAGTACTTTTGATTTATTTGTCATTAATTTTAAAAGTAACCTTATTTTTAAAAAATTTTATATAATAAATGTTATAATAAATATAAAATGCATTATTTTACATTATTACATTTGTACGTCCTTTAATTGCGACGCACGTTCTCGTGTTACATAATAATACAGCGCGCGTCCTCCCGGGTTAAATAGACACCACTAAATGTCATGGTTAACCTATTTATTTTACTTCTATATGCTATATATCTTATAACTTGACTGTACACCGCTGAAATCAACGCTTCCATATGTTAAATACCTTGCAACGTAACTAACTATACACCCGCTAAAATCATGGCCGATTAGCCGTTGGCGAATAAATACGCACCGGCGCCATGAATCCACTGTGGAAGAAAACCCGAGGCTGATCTTTGGAATATGGTAACAGGTAGTTTGGCGACATTTTGGAGGCGATAAAGGTTACTACCTAGACTTTGGGAATAATGGGCTGGGCTATTGCCCAGGAGTACTTTTCATATTTTAAACAATCATAATCCTATTTATACATGGACATAATTAGAAAAAAAGCATTTGCTTAGGTCAGGGTTTCTTAAACTTTTTCAATCGTAACCCGTTTTTATCACTGAGATTTTTTCGCGACCCCCAGGACCCCCATAATATTTACAAAAATTTTGTGGGACCCCATAAATATTGCATAAATCCGACATATGCATGAGTGAAACTGTCAATTTTTTCACTTGTACTGTAATATACTGTATTGCAGTTTTAGGTCATTAACTTTAATCTCTAATTTTAAGACATAAAACAATGTGAAAATTTTAAATAAGTAAAAGACTAAATGAGAACTTCACATGCCAAGCAAGGAAAATGAATGCTTATATTGTAAAAAGAATGCATCAAAACATTTTCGTTTTTTTCTTTGTCTGTATTTTCTTATTTTTATGTAGTTTCAGATACATTGCATAAAAATATTTGGTAATTGTAAAATCATTATAATAAGTTAAAGAAATATCAAAACTGCTAAACTTTTTGACGACCCCCTGCTGTAGGTTGCCACCCAGAGTTTAAGAAACCCTGGCTTAGATTAAACAAATGACTTTCATAAATTAAAATATATATATATATCCATATTAGAGGTACAATTAATGGTTAGAGTAGACTTTAAGATACCCGCTTGTATTATGCCGAAGTTGTTGTTCCATTTATGGTAGCTTAAGTAGTTGAATGTTACGGGAGCCCTATTGTGATGTAATCGGGTGCATGATTCTAGGAAATTTTGAATCATGGGATGTTTTGTAAGCTCTTTTGTGGTGTGTGTTCATTTTATTGTTTAGACCGTAGAATGGCTGAATGTAGTAAGATTAATTTGAAGTTTCTGTATGATTTGGAACAAAAGGGAAAAACAGCGTTAATTGACTAGTGTGTAAATGAAGATTTATTTAGTAGCCACTATGAGTGTCCTGCATGTAGGAAGGATATACGTGTAGTCAAACATAAAAACCATTTAGATGGATTTGAATGGGTTTGTAGGAAGAAAGGTTCAGATGGGGTGACTCTGATATACGGATTCGAGTTCAGATAATTTTAGGAAGTTTTTGGATGCTGTTAAGGAATTTTGTGTGCCACAGACTAAAGACGAAGGAACTTCTAAATAGGATAAGTGGATATGTGCTTTTTGTAGTGCTTAAATGTATAACATGTTTTTCCTTTTGTATGTTATTTTATTGTTTGATTTAAAATGTAGTTTATTGAAATTTTGTATTTTTGTTTGCCAGTATTGTAGAATTGGGTGCTCCTTTGACTTTTTAAGTGAAAATATATCGGTGTGTACATGGACAAAGTGATTTTTTATTCTTTTATTCTTGGATTTTTTAAGTGAAAATAGGTCGATGTGTGCATGGATACCGAGTTTGTGCAAGTTTGTCTCGTTATTTTGACTTTGTGTAGCGTGATTTTTTAACCAAAAATCGCCGTTAAGAAGTCAAAGAATTGCACAAACAGGGTATCCATGTACCGCCAAGTTTCTCTAAGGGGTACCCTAAAATATACTTTTACCCAATTAATTTATACAGATATTAATACCTGTTTGTTATGGCTAGACTCCCACCTATTTAAATATGAAGTAGATAATTAAAAATATTTTCATTCTAATTAGAAGGAAATATGAGCTTTATTCCAAAAAATAAAATCATTTTATTCTTATTAGAATTGAGCTGAATTGAATTCTGATTAATTAATTTATTAGTCTGTAATTAAAAATTTTTGTGAGCCATAAGTACAGAAAACGACATATTCTGAAATTTTCTTGTATGAAAATAAAATTATCTTATTCTAATTATGGGTGTAATTAATTTATTTAGAAAATAATTAGACATCGAACTTAAAATGTCTACTCACAAAGTCATGTGATCATCATCAGCACAAAGATTTTTCTGCAAAGTCACAACACCCAACACAAAACATCTACGTATAGAAAGAAAATATCCCTTTCCCTATCTTAGTTAACATCTGAGCTAGCAACCTAAACACTTTTTCCAAGGCGAATACGATTTCAGGAACCTTGCCAAATGCCGGTTATCTGAGTATGCCCCATATATCAACTAAAAAAAGACTTATTTTGCCTTCTGATGATTTCAAGTTTTTGCTGTCATTCTGTCTCTGACCTTCCACATAGTTACAATTTTAAAACTAATCTGATGATTAAAAATTAAGGTTTTTCTTAAATTCGTAAACTTCTGGATCTGTATATTAGTTTTCTAAATAGTTGTTTCTCTAAAATACCTGTAATGTGTCTTGATAATTTTACGTTCTTGCATAAAAAGCCAAGATAACAAAAGTTCTTGCGTAAAAAACAAGATAACAACAAAAGTGAATTTGTTCTGTTACTTAATATTGTAAATCGATAAAAATTGTCGTAACTTGGGTGTTATTTGTCAGCCTTTTTTGTTTGTAAAATTCCTGCAAACTGCTACAACTATAACTCCAAAATTATTTGGCAGTTATTATTGTTAAATTTTTTGGTACATTTTGTGTTATGAAATATTTTGCACTAGTTAATTAATGCATGCATCATGAAATATTTATATATTACTTTTTCAAAAATAATTTAATTATTTCTATGCCTTGTTATGTTGATCCTAAATTTAAAATATATGTTATTATTGTAATTTGATTTTCAGCTCAATCATCTACAAACTTGAAAAATGTTGTGCTTGTTGAGGGTGTCAGAACACCATTTCTGGTATCTGGGACAGATTACAATAATATTATGGCTCATGATCTACAAAGGCATGCATTATTGTAAGTTTGATTTATAATATATTGTTATGGTTTTTGTATTAATTTAGCTAGTTTTAAATAGAATTAATTAATATTTTGAAGAGAAAGCTACGTTGAAAAATTAAAAATGGAGGAGCACGTGCATTTAATAAATAGATATCTCATAATTGTATGACCTTGCTTTTCGGGGGAAATCTAGAAAATACCAGAATATTCTCGTGCACAATTAAAAAGCTTATAAAAGTGGGATCAAAACATCTCAATTCAGTTTTGTTCAGAAAACTATTGTTGTTTACTGTAGGGAATTCTCAGTGAAATCCGATTAGCATTTTCTGTTTTGGATTAAGTTGAATGTTTGAGTAGTTTAAAAGATAACTACTGTGAGATATTGCAATATTGTATATCTGAGGAAATTTAAGCATTTTGTTTTATTTGTTGTAATAATAATAAATTTTATTCACTTTTCATCAGACTTGTGCATTCAATTTATTACGAACCCATATGCATGCAACAATATTTTTAAACTTGGATATACAATTTTCATTGCATTAACTTTGCTACAAAGTTTTATTGTCATGTTTTCCTCACTACATCTTATATTTTAAAGTATTATTTTAGCTTTCTAAATGTAAAATTTGACCTTAAAAAAATACGTGCATACGTACCCAACCATCTTGACGCAGTTTGGCGATTTTTGACAGAAGAAAAAATGTGATTCAGTGTATTTTTGGATTGCACCTTGCAATAGATATAGTTACCTGAAAAAACAGTTATGTGGATGGTTGCTAGAGTTTGGGAATTCTGAAAATGTGGGTACTTCAGTAAAGATGGTTGCAATAATATGTAAGTACTTAAATTATTATCAAATATGCACTGCAGCTTGAAATTGGGAAAGTGTATCAGGCATTGCTAGTAATTATATGGCCTGTTTTCCAGTTTTGTAAAAAAAATTATTAAACCCTCTCCTTTTTAACCCTTTCAGGATGGGCGTCCCATATACGTATTCCCTAAGAACATCTTACAGCCGGGCATCCATCCACGCATCACTAGAGATTGCATTCAGAGGATGGGTGATGCGTATACGCATTTTAAGCTGGAATGTTTTTCTGAAGGCCACTAGATGGCAACCTGTGTCCATTACTTTTGAAATGAACACACAGTTTCTGACCTTGAGACTTTGATGTATTTTACTCATCAACTGCTGCGAAGGTCGGGGGGAGGGAAAGCGTAAACAGAGGTGGGCTCTTTAAATCGTTGCGTGCTAATTACATTTGCGTGTCTTATTTATATCCAATTCCTTTTTTTATTCTATTTATTCCCTCTACTATGTACAGTTCTGTTGTGTATTTGTTGTGTCTACTATGTGCAGTTCTGTTGCGTATTGCATTGCCTTCAGATAAATTTCTGATTCTTCTCTTTTTATTTCGGAAAGCCTCACCTCTAAAGAGTTAGAAAGTGTTACTTCTCCGTACTTCGAGATTTACCACAGTCTTCATTTTAAATTTTGTTACTTCTTACTGTAAATAATCTTTATTGTTTTGTTTTATTAATTTTAAACTTTATTGATGGATTTTTATCAATTAAAACTTTGGAATAATTTGAATAGCACTTCGAAAATTATTTTACACGATAAGCAATTTGTTAAGTATATTTTCATGTAAAATAAAGAAAAACGCGTTATTAAGTGCCAATTTTAACATATATAAGAGCTCAAGTAATAATCTAAAATGATACTAAAAGTTACGATGCTGGAAGTGAAACTTTTTTTATATATATATATATATATAATTAGGCTTAGGGATGAAAACCTCCATCCTGTACGGTGACTGCCTTCGATTCCCTTCCGTCCCGCACGAGCGTCTTAAACAAAGGTGTGCAATCACAAAAGGTTTAAATGGCAAGTTCATGTTTACTTCTGATATGTGCTTGTCATGTTTCTGCGACTGTTTTTAATACATCAAAAGCATTTTTGATATTTATCTGTTATCGGGACCAGATTCAAAAATATATGTATGCTTGCATGTAAACATAAGTAAGTACCTACATACATGAATACATTTCTGAATCTGATCTCGGTAATAGTATACTTATGATTACTGAACTGTGCCTCATTTTTTATTCTGCCACTTAACAGGAAGCCACAGTCTTCAGCACTTGAGCAGCTGTTGTTGAATCAGCATCACAGTAAAGTGTCTCTAACCAGTTCCTCTATTTTATATGCTCACCAAGAGTATGAATAACTCATCAATACCTCTTGTACATGGTCAATGTTTTTTATCATGAGTATGATTGATTGATAGCTTGAGTGAGAAAGAATTCACCAGTTTCTTGGCATAACTTGCTAAATATTCAATATTGTGGAAGAATCCTGCCTACTTTGTTTTTCCTCCTAGACTAGATTTTCATTGTATGCAATTTTTTCAAGCCCACCTATTCACTTATTTGATTATCTGTAGAGATGATTAGATTAATAGAGTAGGTTTTAGATGTAGGGAATTCATAATTAGATGTAGAGTACTCATACTTTTGTTCCATTCAATTGTTCTATTTTCATAAAGACTAAGTTCCGTTTATCACTGCTTAATCAAGATTAATTCCTCTGTCCAACAGTAGTTAAATTACTGCACTATAACATAGAGTATTCTGAAACCTCTGAACCAGCTGTCAAAACGTATGCTTTTCCTTCACTTGCAACTTTTCATATTGTACCTTCAAGTATTTCATTGATAGATAGTTTTATTTAATGACCATCTTTGCATATTTAAATGTGAAGTCAAATATGTCTTTCTTGAAAGAAAAATACAGCGTGTCTGCCTGCCTGCCAAGAACTTTGTACAAATGTACTTAGGGCAGTACTTTTTTTTTTTTTTTCCAATCCACTTCTTTTTATTGCATATTTTTGTAAATTAAGCTGCAGATTTATTGAAAGATGATTTTGGCACTGAAGAATTTGGATGTGGTTCTAATCTGAGAACTTTTCCTGATGTGGTTTTGGAGAGGGGAGTGCAGTGTTTGATTATGCATACCTTGTTTCGAAATTTATTATGTGAAAAAATTATTAAATTAACACAATGAGTTCATGTGCAATTTTATCTGAATAAAATTACTATCTTATATAAGGTAATAGTGTAAGTCATTTATACCATATACATAGTTTTATGATCTAAATGCTTACTAGAGCTTTACTTCTAATATTTTATGTGTGAGGAAAGCTACAAATGAGTGAGTTTGAGATAAATTTAAATTTCTCAAAAAAAAAAAAAAAAAAATTTACCCAAAACAATACAGTTAATGAAACCAATGAATATATGTATACAAATGAATATATGAATTTTTTACCTAGAAATTGTTGAATATATTATTGTTAGGACTGTTATTCAAGAAGTCAAGATTAGCAATATTGCTAGAGAAGTAAGGAATTTATAAATTGAAACCAATGAATACATATATTCATGTATACCAATGAATATATGTATAATGAATATATTGAAATAAACTACAATTTTTTTAATAATAAAGTGAAACTATAAGTAAAAAAATCAATTTTTTTTTTTTTTTTTTTTTTAAATTGTATGAAAAATACTTGATAGTTAATTTGAATTTTTATTCCAATATATCAAATAATTGCAATCATGAAGTTTGTGGCAAATGTACCTGTGTTGCAGTATTTAATTTCGGTGCTATCATAATAAACTATTCCTTTCATATTAAACTCTTAGCTTTGCTATATATTTTTCTTGAAACTAATTTTTATTCAGAATGCTTTGGTAAAAATACTGTTTTTTAAATTTGCTTTTTACTTTAATAGGTCACTAGTTCGACGTACAGGAATTCCAAAAGGTAATTGTAATTCTTTTTATGTAGACTTACTTAACATTCCAATAAGATTTAAAGGAAAAAATATTTAGTCTGTGCTTCAGAATACAATTTTATTTGTAATTCAGAATTAATTGTGTTTTTTAAATTGTGTTGAAAGATAAATTGATTTTTTAATTAATTTTATAAATTTTATTGAGTAATTTAAAGGTTCTGGTGTTTTTCATTAAAGATAAAGTCATGGGGAGAAATAAACTACAATGAGAGTCAAGCTGCTCATTAAAATTTCATCGTTATGAAATATGAGTATTTACGTATTAAGGCAACCACATTAGTGGAAGTCTCCAAATTTTCAGAATGTGTCGAACTCTAGCAACCCTACGCATAACCTTCTTCCAGCTACAACTCTCATAACCCCTTCGAGCCGGGTGGCGAAAACGCGCGCCTCCGCGAGCGTCTCTCCAGGGCCGGGGACTTTTTTGCTACTAAGCCTAAATCCATGAAATTTCCGAAGTATCAACGTATTGTTTAATAATGCTCTATAGAGTATTTAAACGGCTTATGCTTTATAGATATTTTTATATATATACTTTAGTTACCTTATTTCTTGTCTAAATGCATATTTTACACATTTTATTTTAATTACTTACCATTTTATGACTTTTAACATTATGCATCTGAAAACTAAATATATTACTTAAAATTCTCTTTTCGTATGAAAAATTTTAAAACAGGGATCTACACACAGTCCTACGTTACGTTCCTTGAACTCGTAATAACTCATTTGCCGTTTTGGGAGGATTTTTTCCGGGAATGTGAACAAACGAAGCATCGTCGTCTCATTTTCTTATCAGTCTCTTCTGAACAAAGTTTGTTTTGGAAAATGTCTTTCAATTAATCTTTCAGAATCAATATCAAAAATTTCAGAATCAATATCTGAAATATTTTGTATCATTTCTGCTATTTCATGCTCTGTTAAACATTTTCGACGCTTCGACATTGAAACGGTTAAAAACAGAAAGAATTCACGTCTAACAAGATCGAATTATTTTCTAAAAACTGAACTGTGAACCGAAATACTCAACGCTTTAGCGCGTATAAAACTTCTACTTACAATAAACAACTACCACGTGCGAATAAAGTGCGATTTAAAGAGACGTCATAAATCACGCCATTCGGAAACATTTAGTTCCCCGTTTGTTTATATAATCAAAAACACGTGTATGTGAGTCATGCTTCTCTCATTTCGAGTAGAAAGTCTAATGTACATGTATCTGAAACCATATGGGCATACAGTGCCATCTTGTGGCAGAAATTATAGTTTGAAAAACGTTCCAAGGTACTGGCACAAATACGTGACATTCGGTAGAAAACGCAACAATGCTCTGGCACGCCTGCGTGTTGGCCAGTAGATAAGTGCGTTCGATGCTGGCACGTATACGTGACAGTCGGCGCGAAGGGGATAACAGTTCCTTCCGTCAAACAATGGTACCATATTTTTAAACATTCTTTTTTATTGTATTCTAAGTTCCAGTGGTTTTTGTAAAAAATTCATGATATTTTTTGCTTTAACTTAATTTTAAAATATGAGCTTGTGGAATTTGCCAACAGTGGAAGGAACTGCAGTAAAATTTATGGAAGTGTACAACATTTTGCTAAAAATTTACAGAAGGGAACAATGAGGTAATGCATATCCTGGAAAGCCACTGTTGTCAAGGGTTGCACATAGCTAAGTCTCTATAATTCTAAAAAAAAAAAATTTTTTTTTTTTTTTAGAATTTTTAAGGGAAAACATATTGTTGTGTACTTTTAAGGGCAAAAAATTCTGGAAAGATTTGAAGAAGAATGTGTTTTACTTTTTTAACATAATCCTTATTTAATAATTCAAATTTGCATTTTAAATTGCTATAATGTTTTCTTTTCATATGTCGATAATCTTTACCACCTTATGATAAGTACTGATAGTTTAGGAATCTTTCTGAAAAAAGGCACAAAAACCAGCCACTTGCACCTGATAAGGAGCTTTTACCTTTTCATTTGTAAAAAATTGCCAAATTACACTAAGGTGGTTGCATTAATAGTTAAGTACCGAAATATGATTTGTACTTGTGTTAAAAGATAGGCATTTCATTGCTTGAATTTTACTTATTTTATTAAATATTTGAATTTTTTATCTAGAAATTGTTGAATATATTATTGTTGGGACTGTTATTCAAGAAGTCAAGACTAGCAATATTGCTAGAGAAGTAAGGAATTTATAAATCTTACTTTGTTATTGTATCTGTGTTTCCTTGTATTCCGAATATTTGATAACAGGTTGCCTGAAAGTGTATTGTAATATATCATAAAATTTGTTAGATGTGATAGTGTTAAATGTATTAGCAATTCCCACACTTTACTGCCAGATGGCATCATGACCATTCAAAAATTCTAAAGCCCTTAAATGGAAATATGAAAAAATTTTTGTAATGCTGGACTTTTGTAAACATAAAATTCTCACACATTCTTGAATTTAAGAATTGCATATGCCATTATCAGAGCTTTAAAATGCAAATAGTATTAAATTAGCATAATTTTTTAAGCAATTCTTGTTGTATTTCCCTTATTCAAAATTATAAACTTCAAAATTAAAAAGCAAACTTCTAATTTAAATTTGCTATAATCTCTTTTATTTTTCATTTAATTTGGTGACTTTCCCTCTCTATTCTAAAAATAGCGCCAGAAGTCTAAGCTGTGTCATTCAAATTAATCATGCAATCTTATGTAACGCTTAATGCAGATTCCTCTTGCCCAATCACTAAATAATTGTAAACCAAAACTTTTTTAACTCGATCTGAAACGTTTGACTCTGCCCCTTCTTCCTCTGCGAATTTCTGCGACACTTTCGCTTATGCTTTCCTCCTGGCAAGATGCTTTACAGCTACCTTCTTTGTTCACTGAATATGTGCTGAGCTAACAAAAATGTAGGATTTGCATCCATATGTGAACCAAATATTGAAAATACAGAGTCAATTTTCTTAATAATAAAATTATCTTGAACCCGGGCAAGTCTGCCCTGCCAAGTTTCTTTGTTAGGCATCTTTCTTTGATATGAGTATTGTTGCATGAGTACAAGTTCATATTAGATTGAATGCACACAGAACCAATGACAGCTTGACAAAATTTATTTTACCAAAAAGAAACATTTCACAGTTTTGGAACTTTCTACAAAAATATTCATACAGCACTTCACAGTATCACAGAGCACACTCAGGAGTTGCACTTCTAACTATTAAGAATGTTAAACACAGCACAATGCAAAGTGGATCTAAAGAGAGAAGATAAGACAGATATCTCAGTACTTCGAATTCATCTTTGAACTAACAGCTGAAAACAGATGCTGTCTCCAGTCATATATAGTTTTTTTCTCAGCCACCGAGAAATCTGTAGTACTTCTTGAAATTACTAGAAATCATATGAGGGCCAGATACAATTACAGCTACAAAGAGGCTCAATTAGTTATTTAATTGCAATACCCATTACAGTTATACAGAAATCAGACCAAAATGTCACCAAATGATTGGCAACTTTGGGCGAATTTTTGCCAAATTTGGTGACAAAATTTAGTTTCTCCAAATCATCAACAGCTGGGCAATGTTTTTCCAATTTAGCGTGATAGTTATTGACTCAATGTAAAAAAGGTGCATACTTACTTTCCTATATGGCAAACTTTGCTTCTTTAGATTTTAATGTTACATTAAACAAAAAAATACCAATATAATTTCACTAAAATTATTTATATTTGTACAGATTCATAACAATATTGTTGCATTTTGGCAAATTTTCTTCATCTAACGAACAGTCCGTGTGCTGAGCATATTTATGTGAAGAACCACTTAACACTTTACAGGCCAATGATCCCAAATAGGAACATCAAATTGCATACTCATTTAAAAATTAAATTTCATTCATATTGACTTGAAAAAAAAATGGTCATTAATACATGAAAGATAGCTTATATAGACTTTTCATATAGACTTTTCAAGTATAAAACAAGGAATATATAGAAATTGTAAAACATGCCCTTTTATCAATTTTTAGAGGACACAACTTAAAAATTCTTATAAAATTGAAAAATTATCCATTATTTCTAAAAACTGGCAGACATAGTTCAAAAGATTCATTTTACGAAAAGAATATAAGGTGTAATAATATGGATAAGAAATGTTCATTAAACTTCCATGTTCCCAACTGAGAACATTGGCTGGTAGCCACTATTCTGTGAAAGAGAGAATTTTGATTATTATGAGTTTCCACTGCAAATAAAAGAACTTTTTTTTCTTAGATATATATATATACATATATATATATATATATAAGAAAAAAAGTTTCTTAAAAAAAGAAAAAAGTTATATATATATATATATATATATATATATTTTTTTTTTTTTTTTTTTTTTTTTTTTTTTTTCCCCAGAAAGGAAAAATTATCTTACACTCCATGAAGGGGAAATTTCCTAATTTTGGCAAATCTGTAATCTTCAGCATTTAGCTCCTCAGATTTTGTGGTGAAAGATTTTTTTTTAAAGAAACCTTAACAAGAAACACTTTAAAATTGTAGAAGCAGCTGTTGAGTATCTGATGATACTTAGGGATTCTGAGATTATAGATATATCTGAAGAAGAAATTGAAATATGTCAGCTTCTTCCCGATGGAACTAATCGCACTTCTGAAAAATACTGAAACTTATAGCTCTGTATCTTTCATCTTTGTCCGTATTCTTAGTCCTGTTACGCCTTCTGATGTTTGTGAACACATTAGCATTGTTAACAAATTGTCAATTAGCAAAAACTGTTTTGAAGAACAAGTTCCAAATTAACAGCAAAAGGAATGGAAACATAAATCTATGTTTAATAAGAGCATCAAAAGTGAACCAGTACAGAAAATTAGGGATAAATTTCCATTGATAGAAGCAGAATGTATTGGCATTATTATTATTATTATTATTATTTATTTATTTATTTATTTTTCCCCTCGGATTCGTTTTTCAGAAATATGTAAGAATATGTAAGCAGGCCAAAATGACATCAACTTATGCACCTTGAAAGAGGACTAATATATAAATTGGAAAGAGATTAAACAGGTTTTCATATTGCTTTTATTGTGTGGATATTATCAGATATACTCTGAAAATGATTATTGGAGTTTTTCTGAAGACAGTACCGTCCCTTTTGTCCCTACAGCCATGTCAAAGAAAAATTCAAAGACATCAAAAGAATAATTAAAAATAAACATGGATCTAAATTCTACCTTTAAAAGTTTAAAAATTTTGCACAGATCATGTGGGCCTGTTTCATAAAATAATAATCATAGAAACAAAACCATTAAAAATTTACTCCAAAAGAGATTATGGAAGTTTTTGCTCTTTTACTGTGGAAAATAATGTTGCCTTTTTTGGCATAGTAAGTGTACTAAAAGCATTAAGAAGAGATCATAAAATTAAATACTGTAAATTTAAACCACAAAATGTTACTCTTTCTGAAGGTTTAATTTTCTTCAAATTAAAATTTTTAAAGCTTGAAGGTTTCTTGTATCCTTCATTTTCTACACTGTTGAGGTTTTAAAGACTGAGATACTTTCAAAAAACAATAATTTAATAATATTTTCAAGTATTGCCAAGTATGGTAATTTTTGGAAAATGTAGCTAAATTAGAGTTTATTATCTTCAGTATCTGCTAAAGCGAATTAACATATTAATAACTGTTATATAATTTAATAAACTAAAAATATAGTAAACATGCAAACTTAAGTACACAACTACTCCAATATAAAACAAATATATATATAATTTTTATACTAATTTTATAACACTATCTTAGATAAATTTTATTAATAGCTTTGCTTTCATGCTTATTATAATGCCAGAGCATATTTAACTTTGGATTAAAATTTTAGAAGTAATATGCATTTATTAACTTGTTCAATCTCCTAAATATTTTTTTTTAATTATTTATTGTTAGGGAAAATTACTTATTTCTTCTGCAAACGAATATCATTTTTATTGTACAACTGCACTTTTTTTAATGTTGTCTCTATTTTCGTGGCTTCTTATTTTAATGCTTTTGGAATTCTTTGTGTAGCTTTTTATTTGCATGCAGTAAACTATGTAATATTATGTTATAATAGGTAAGGTTTTTAAAGATCCAAAATTTTGATTGCATTCTGAAAGATATTAAGTGCTTACAGATTTTACTAATTTTTTGATTAAAAATTAATGTAAATATAATTAACACATTAACTTCCAAAACTCATAGAGGCCGAGTGGTAAAATTGTTGAAGCGCTGGTAATTCGGTCTAATCTCAGGTTTCTCATGTTTTAAATCTCAACAAACCCACTGGCTACATGGGCATTTCCATGGTAATCCCCATGTGTATCATGTGTATGAGCTGGTTTCCCTCAAAAGGTCCTTCAAGAATACATAGCTTTTCTTAGACAGATAGACCTTGAGTACTTTGCCATAATAATAATAATAAGAAGAAACCAGTCTGAAAACCAAAGCTGATATCGTGTAGACTGCATCATATTAAATGCTATTGCTGATGGTGTATCTGTTCACACATGCCAAGATGCATTATGCATTTTTATGCATTTAAGTTGTTTTCTTTGATTTTATTTTTTAAATATAGATATAACAGATCACTTTTAGCAATGAATAAATTCATATGAGTGTGTTGTGTTACTGCGCCATTGATGTGGTGTTGTTAGCGTGACCGCCAAAAGTGACGATACTAAGAATATCAAATACAAATTAATTTCGCGTAAACACTTAAACTAAAATTTAGTGGTTAGCACATTGCAGAATCTTTACGAAATAGAATAACATGACTTACCCAATAATGCATGCATGAGCCGAATATTTCTTTTTCCAACCTCACATTTATTTTACCGAACATAATTTCTGGATTAAATAAGGCACATTTATCACACACATATAAAATACTAAAATATCATAACTTAGATACACACAATGCGATAACTAAACATGGAATGTTTCGCGGAGTGCTGAAGCGTGACTATTCGTGCAATCCTGTCCCATCATATATATCAGTGGTCGAAATTGCCTCCTATTAATTTTCATATTATCACGCGATCTGGTTACATACTTGTACGCTCTTCTTTTTTTTACACACTTATCATCACGTGGTGACACATTCGCTGGTCAAGCACATCTTGAAGTCGAACACATATTGATATTCTCCTTGAGCCTTTATTTTATGTTATTCACGGCAGCAGGACTTAGTGAGTCTCAAAACAAGCACTTTACTTCAGATATTGGATCTCTTCATTCAGCTTCTTTCTATGCAAAAATACGACGACATTCCACGTGCAAAATATGCAGTAACGATGGTGACTGCTGAGTGTGTGTGGCCCGAAGGCCCACACACTCGTTAACACATCTTGAAGTCGAACACATATTGATTGAAGTCAAGCACATCTTGAAGTCGAACACATATTGATATTCTCCTTGAGCCTTTATTTTATGTTATTCACGGCAGCAGGACTTAGTGAGTCTCAAAACAAGCACTTTACTTCAGATATTGGATCTCTTCATTCAGCTTCTTTCTATGCAAAAATACGACGACATTCCACGTGCAAAATATGCAGGAAAGATGGTGACTGCTGAGTGTGTGTGGCCCGAAGGCCCACACACTCGTTAACACGACGTCAGACAGAAGAAAAGGCAAGAGAAAGAGAGCAAGACAAACAAGTCCTTCCAGTTTTTATACCTTTCGACGCACGTGGTAGGGCGCGACAACGATTCAAGAATCGATAATGCCACAGCGTTCACTGTGAGAATTCTGTGTTCTCACAGAGTGTGCTCATAGTTCAACATAGGCAAATGTCAACCTGATGTGTTAAAAAAAAAAATCTTTTATTTGCTGTGATCTTGAAAATATCCACACTATATTATATAAATATATAAATATAGTTATGTTTTTGCATCTTAAGCATTTAGTTGTTTATCTACATTGAAAAATAAATGATTCATTTCTATATGCCGAGTTTATTGTTTAACCCCTTCCTGTATGCCAAACACTTAAACATTGCATGCATTTGACATTGCAATACTCATAATTGGTGATCTTGGTAACATGATCAAATATGACTATTCTAATAGCTAGCAAATGACTTCTGTTTGCCATCTATGACTATTATCATATATTGCGTTAAATGTGTTAAAAAACACTGTAATTGAATGCACTGTATAAGAGACCTGAATTATATGTCTAAAATGTAAGCTTTTTTTTTTTTTTTTTTTTTTTTTATATTTGATTATTTATATTTATGTAAAGAAATGATATTGCAATGTATTTCATATGTTATATAATATCATTATAGGCTTCTTTGGGTGGAGGATTTTCTCTTCATACACCTGCTCATACAGTTACTCAGGCTTGCATATCTGCAAATCAGGCTATAACTACTGGTCTGTCTTTTTTACAAATTAAATGACAAAAGACTTTAATTAGTTTTTAAGAATAAAAATTTAATGTTAAAAGTTTAAGAAAAGGCTTTTTTTTTTTTTTTTTTTTTTTTTCCCCAGATCAAGTATAATATGCAGTTTATAAACAAAATTCTATAATAAGAATTCAAAAATTCTCTCATTCATGTATTAGGTTAAGTTTTATCATATGATATTTAAGATAGCTAAATTATCATATTTAGCTGATTACAGAATTATTGATTATGAATATGCGTAATTCCAAAAGTTAATCTTCAAGTGTTTTTGGTTTAAGGGCTGAGTTTATCTGAATAAAACTGTGTTTTATGATGAGTACTTTTATTTTTTCATACAGTTACACCATAGCATTTGAGACATTTAATCATGAGAAATGTCTTCAATTTTTATCTTGTAAAATGTAATGTTCTAAATGTTTGGTCCAATTTTTTTTTCTTTTTTTTTTTTTAGGCTGCAGCAATTTGCAGCCATCTAGATGTTTTCTCAGAGAGTAATTAAGAATTTTGTAGAATTTTGTAAGTTTCACCCCTTCACAGAAGTGAAAATTACTTAATTCTAGATTGGTTCTATAAAGCAACTAGTTCAAAACTCCCAAATCACTCATATAGAGAAATGTTATCGTGAAGAAATAAAACAGTTTTTATCTGTGCATTAACTGCCATTCATTTTTCTAAGAAATAAATCATTGTGACAGCTTTCGGATTCCAGATTTCCTATTTATTCGTTTGCCAACAGATAGCATGACTCATAATTTCTTATTTTGTTAGAAGTTTGCACTCTTTATTCAATACTTGTACCTTTCATTTCTGATGTGCTGTGAAGAATACATGGTTCACCACCAGTAAAAATACATTTCTGAAACTATTGGCTATGAATGGTATGTTATTGCAGGTATAGTTGTCTGTGCCACTCTTTGCAGAAGAGGTCCCATGAAGTAGCTCACGCCATATGAAGTCTCATGTATAAAAGCATTCAGGGCAATGTTGCATGTCACATATTCATGCTCAGAATTGTTGTATTTCCAGTATCACGCATTTTTTATAAAAAATCTTTGTGGCTACAGATTTTAGAGTGATAATGACAACAAGCATGTAAGACAGACAATAAAAAAGTATTTCTTATGCTTATAAAAGTCTTATTTAAACTGTAATATAAAATATTTACCGTACCCACTGCATATTATTATCACTTCCATTCCAAACATATTTGAGTTTAATAGACAGCAATTTGTGTAAGCAAATTGTGATATATGTTTTAAACTTAGCTAATAAAAATAGCTAATCCAATACTTAAAATAATAATTGAAAAGTAATGCTAGAATTAAATTATTTACATAATTTTGAAGTTTTTATTTTTTTGGTAATAACTTTTTTTATAATTATATATATGATGAAATTTGTAACTTTTAGAAACAATTGTTCATCAACAGTTTTTGAATTGTATTCTCAATTTTGTAAAACAGCTGGTAGCTTTTTTTTATCAAAACTTTCCATTCAACAGTTTTTAGAATTTGCTGTGCTTTTTTAGATTTGATCGAGATTGGAATGTTATCCCTTTTTTCGCTATTATTCTCACTGTCAGTTTCCATAGTTCTTTTAATACTAGTCACATTTTACACATGTTGTTTCACCATTGTCATCAGTAGGCACATATTCTAATACTAAATCTTCATAATTTTCCTCAGTAGTATTTGAAATGTTAAACACAACTTGCAATTCCTCTGGCGTTTCTACACAAAAGCCACATATAACATTTTTTAACTGTGTTTTAAATTATTAACCCCATGCATTGGTTATAGCGTCTGTGATTGCCAGCAGAGATATCAATCTATTTATTACTTTGGAATTGCTTACATTGTCACATGATTCAATTCCCCTCAGGGGCTCACTCTTGTGTGTATGGGTGTGGCAATCCCGAGGAACCCTAGCCCTTCAGGGGATCATCTTCTTGGTAAGACGGATGTCATGATCCTGGAGCCCCAGTGATCTATTCACTTTTCCATCTCCTCTCCTCTTGGCTGGAACTTTTTCCCTTCCCTTCTCCCTTGTGGTTTCTCTCTTTGGAGTTTGGGGCTCGTCACGAGAGGCTGGAACAGCCGTCTCTAGTTTTCGAGTGGCGAGAAAACTGCCCACGTGTTTGCCGGGCGTGGAGACCCATGTTGCTGGAAAGGAGGGTCCTGGTAGTTGAGAGGTGAGGTACTGTCCCCAACACACTGCTTTGGCCTCTGCTTCAGCTAAACGGGAGGCACATTAATCGTCCTCACAGGTGTCAATCAGCTGGTCATTAGTCCTTGTGTCAGTGGCTTGGAGATAAGCTCTCGGGATTATCTGCTTTCGGGAAAGCCAACTGTGGGGCTTCAGTTTGCGTATAGGTCTGGCTGGTCCTAACACAGGAATCTGTGTTCCCTTGTTGAGCTCCATGGTGGGCAGGGCCGTTGGATCTGAATTTTTTCTTTTTCAATCATGGCTTCACTTTTCATCTTAAAAAAAAACCTGACTCAAATGAAACTGACCAAGATATAGAAATTATTGAGAAATCTATTAGCAAGAAAATTAGTACCGATGCAAATGCCAAAGAAAGTATTGATTGTCCATGCTTTGTTGTTGTTTCCAATGCCTCTGGAGAATTGCAAAAGATGTCTCCTTTTCTGGTAAACAAACACATTCATTCATGTGAGCCAAGGAACATAAAGCGTCTCCGTACTGGAGACCTGCTTATTGATACTGTTTCGGACACTCAGTCTGCTTCACTTTTGCATCAAACCAAACTTGGACAAATACCTATAACTGTGTCAGCTCACAAAACACTCAACTTCTGTAAAGGCGTGATCTCAGAAATCGAAATTATGTTCGTTTCAGAAGAAGAGTTCGTTTCGGAGTTAGCTGACCAAAAGGTTTGTGCTGCTAAGCAGATCAAGATGCGTAAGGAAGGTCAGTTGATTGACACAAAACACATGATTCTGACCTTCAAATCGCCTGGTCTGCCAAAGAATATAAAAGCTGGATATGTGAACTGTCATGTAAGACCATATATTCTCAACCCAATGTGATGCTTCCAATGCCAGCGGTTTGGTCACTTTAAAACATCCTGTTGTGACAACCTGACGTGTGCTCATCATCAGTTGGTCATGATAGTGATAATTGCACTACGGCATTGTGTGTAAATTACAAGGGCGATCATCCAGCATTTTCTCGTTAATGTCCAAAATGGAAAATAGAAAAGGAAGTACAGACGGCAAAAGTTACTAGAAACATATGCTATTACAGAAGCCAAAAGGCTGGTTCAAAGCACACAGCTTCAACCAAATAGATCATATGCAAGTGCCGTTAAAGCAACACGTACCGTTGCCACTCAAACTTTGATAAATGCACAGACTCCACCAAATAAAACCCATGAGCCTGCCAGCCAGAAAAAGGAAACTCTGACTCATGTTGTACAAAAAAAAGAAATAGCAATCCAGAGCAAACCCAAAAATGGGCCTTTAGAAATAGTAACCAAAAATACAAGCAATAGTAATAGTTCATTTGAAGATATGTTATCTGAATCTTTAGATTCAGATAGTATGGAAGTAGAAGAGGGGTTAGATGTTCCCGAGCATCTACTTCCACGAAAAACAAAAAAGCAGCTCAGAAAAAACAAACATAAATCATAATGGCCACCCTGATCCATCTCATGGAACTGTCGCGGATTCCTCCGAAATTTTCTCGACATCAAAAGTGTAGTCAATGCTCATTACCCTGTGTGCTTGGCGAGCACAGGAAAGAAATCTGAAACCAGAATCAACAAGCAAAACTTCGGAGGTTTTGCTTGTTGATTGGAGGTTTTCTTGTTAATCTGGTTTCTTTCGTCAGGACAATTACCTTGCAGGTGAACGTGCCTAGTGGAGGATGGTAGGTCTTCCTCACCTTACTTGACTATCCATCAGCTACACTTCCTTTGACAACATCCCTCCAAGTTGTCGCTATACGGGTAAATTTTCATATTGTGGTTTCAGTCATTTCTCTTTACTTGCCTCCAAATGAGCACGTTGATCAACAGCATTTAAGTGATCTCGTACAGCAGCTGCCTGAGCCCTTTATCTTCATAGGGGATTTTAACAGCCATAGTCTGCTCTGGGGAAGTAAAGATACAAATTCCCGAGGAAGACAAATTGAGCGAATGATTGAAGATCATAGCCTTTGTCTCCTAAATAACAGGCAGGATACTTACTTCCATGAGCCTTTAAGGATATTCCACGCTATCGACCTTGCCATCTATTCACCATCTCTGTTGCCGTTTTGCACTTTTAGTGTGGGAAATTATCTTTACAACAGCGATCACTATCCTATTTTAGTACCTCTTGCACAAAGAGGAGCAAACCCCATGTCCCTCGGTTCGTACTCGATAGGGCAGACTGGGAACTCTTCTCTTCCACTGAAGAGCTCACAGAGAACATGGTAGAAGATGTGCATATTGATGATGCTGTTAAAGCTGTTACTAATACTATTATTGAGGCAGCTATGCTTTCCATTCTTAGAACATCAGGGAAAATACTGGAATATACGAAACCATGGTGGAATCATGACTGTCATAAAGCACGGAAAAAACAGAAAAAAGCATGGGGAATTTTTCGTAAATACCCTACTCTGCGAAACCTCATAGCATTTAAAAAAAGCCAAAGCAAATGCATGAAAAGTAAGAAAGCAGAGCCAGAAGGATTCCTGGATTTCATATGTGTCATCCATAAGATCCTCTACGCCTAGTAAACGGGTTTGGGAAAGAGTTAAAAAAGCATGCGGAATATATAAAGACCACTCACTTTCCTTTCTTTAAAAAGATGGTCGAGTGATTAGCTCCATAGAAGAAATTGCAAATACTATTGGTGAGACATCTGCTGCCGTTTCTTCCAGCAGAAATTACTCACCTGCATTTCTTTCTATCAAGCAGCGCTCTGAGAGAAATCCCATCACTTTCAACTCTTCCGACTT